GAACCTGTGAACTCCCACTATGATGGACTGAACCTGTGAACTCCCACTGTGATGGACTGAACCTGTGAACTGTAAGCAAGCCACCACAATTAAATGTTTCCTTTATAAGAGTTGCTGTGGTCATGGTGTCTCTTCACAGCAATAGAAACCCAAGCTAGGACAACTTGTCCAGCTCTGATTTTTTTTTTTTTAAGGAAAAAGTGAAAAGAAATTTACATAGTGACACATATTTGTCTTGGCACTTGAAGCTGGATGATTAGTAGTTCAAGAATATTCTCAGCTACATAGTAAGTTCAGGGTTAGCCTGGGAAACACAAGATCTATCCTTGGAAACAGTAACAGAAAGATGCCAACCTGACCAACATAGGGAGAATGAGTGCTGGGGATTGAGGGCTTCACCGTAGGCAAGGAAAGCTAGTTAGGAGATGGAGGAAACTGAGGAAGGAAAGGGCCTTTTTTCTCCTGTTTCTGGTTTGTCTCTTGGCTAACGCTGAGGAATTTTTACATAACTGACCAGTCTATCTGAAGAAAAAAAAAGTATGTATGTCTCTCTCTCTTTTTTTTTTATAAATAAGATCTTAAAACCGGGCATTGGTGGTGCACGCCTTTAATTCCAGCACTCGGGAGGCAGAGGCAGGTGAATCTCTGTGAGTTTGAGGCCAGCCTGGTTTCCAGATCGAGTGCCAGGATAGGCTCCAAACCTACACAGAAAAATCCCTGTCTTGAAAAACAAAACAACAAACAAAGAACTTAAAAGTGTGTGTGTGTGTGTGTGTGTGTGTGTGTGTGTGTGTGTGTGTGTAAGCCAGAAGAGGGCACTGGATTCCTGGAGCTGGAATAGTCACAAGCAGTTTATGAGCCACCTGACAGGGGTGCTGGGAATTGAACTGGGAATTGAACTTAATGAACCATGCCTGAAGTCCAAGCTCCTTGTGTGTACAAATAAGGATCCTTTATCAGTATCTCCCAGCACTCCCTTTACATCTGTAAGCCTACATGATGTACCTGGTAAATCTGTTCAGAGACAGGGTGCTGCAGAATATTCCTTCACACTGTGTGAAGATGTGTCACTGTGGTTGGTTTAATAAAGACCTGAATGGCCTTTAGCTAGGCAGAAAGAGGTTAGGTGGGACTTCTGGGGACAGAGAGGACTCAGGGAAGTAGAATGGCAGGGTTGCCAGACAGACTCAGAGAAAGCAGCATGAGCAGTACAGACAAATGAGGCAGGGAGGCACATGACAAAATGCAAATGAAAACAAACGGGTGAATTTAAGTTATAAGAGCTAGTGGGGCAAGCCTAAGCTAAGGCCAAGCTTTCACAATTAATAATGTCTCCATGTTGTTATTTGGGAGCTGGCAGTACAGAGAAACTGAGTCCTTTGGGTAAGATAAATAAATTTACCAGTGTAGCTGGAGACATAGCTCAGTTGACAGAGTGCTTGCCTAGCATGCATAAGGCCCACTAAACTCTAAGCCACCTATAACTTAAAATTAGGACTTTATCATAAAAATGCCTTCATAGGCAGAGAATGCATATACCTTTAATACCAGCACTTGGAAGGCAGAAGCAGGTGGATCTCTGTTAGAGGCCAGCTCGGTTACACAGAGAATCCGGACAGCTAGGGTTATATAATGAGACCTTGTCTCAGAAAAGGAAAGAAAAGGAAAGGGAAAAAAAGAAAAGAAAAGGGAAGGGAAGACATCCACTCTCTGCAAAGTTTAAAAGTATGTATACTAGGTACAGTGCCTGGAAAAGGATATTCAGGGTATGTTGAAGTCTAGGGACTGGTCTGTGTAGGTGCCAAAGGTGTATTCCTGTTTATTTGAGCCATTTCAAGGGGTTGACTTGCATTGAATAGGAAAAGAAATATGGACATACTGAAATAGATATGTGTGGTGCCTACCACCAACCAAAGCATCTACAGCTCAACTCCTGCACCTAAGGCTCAGGGAACTTTGAGGAAGACTGTTAAGAGCCAGAGGAACAAGAGGCCTGCTGGGAGATGTCATCTAGAAATGTCAGGGAAGCTACACCCATGAAGTCTCATCAACATGACTGTCCAAGTGAGACCTGAACAAGGGTGACAACAACAGACATATTAACATGGAAGGGTTAAATCTCACAGGTCCCCAAGCATAGACTAAGAGCTACAGACAACTAAAGAATGCTGAGAGTAGGAGAAAACAGTTTTCCTCAGGGAAGAGTGTATCAATTGGTTATCCAATACTAAGTGGTCAATCCTGAAAACATATCCATACAAGTAACACATGGACTGAACATATTGTATTTTACACATTTAGGACACACACACACACACACACACACACAGAGAGAGAGAGAGAGAGAGAGAGAGAGAGAGAGAGAGAGAGAGAGAGAGAGAGGGAGAGAGAGTGAGAGCGAGAGAGAGAGAGAGAGAGAGAGAGAGAGAGAGAGAGAGAGAATCTAAGAAGTGAGACCAGCATGCAAGTAATACACAGATATGAATGCAGACAAAACAACCATACACAGAAAAAAGTAAATAAAAACAACAAAACTGGTGGTGGTGGTATTTTGTTTATATTCTAACAAATAAAGCTTGCCTGAAGATCAGAGTGCAAAACTAGGCACACTAGTTAGCCATAGATGCCTGGCAGTGGTGGTACACACCTTTAATCACAGGATTCAGGAGTCAGAGGTAGATGGATCTCCATGAGTTCAAGGCCATCCTGGGCTATACAAAATTGATCCAGTCTAAAAGAGAAATAGAGCTCACACAAAGGTGATCCTAGCACTTGAAATGACATGCTTTAATCCCAGCACTAAGGAGGTGGAGACAGGAAGGTATATGACTGGGCAGAGAGAGGAATATAAGGTAAAAGGAGACAAGAGCTCATGACAGTCTAAAGCAGCAGTCTGAGGACAGGATCACCCCTTTGGTCTGAGCATTGGTAGAGGTAAGAACTCTCTGGTGGTGGCCACTTTGCTTCTCTGATCCTTCAGCTTTTACCCCCTGATAGTTGACTCTGAGTTTTTATTACTAATAGCAATTACAATTCATCCTACACAAAACAAAGAAAATGAGGCCAATAGGTCATACAATTGAGACTGTGGGGTATGTGAAAGGGGTTGGAAGGAGGAAAGAGACAGAAGAAAATACTGTATTTTAATTTCGAGAAAAAAAAAAAAAGATCAAAGCACACCTGCTTCAGTGGAAGCAGGGAGAAGCTTGCACTGCTCTGCAAAGCTCAGGAATTCCCCACACCAGGTGGGCACTCCCACTCTGCCATCCTGTCACCCTCAGAGTAATAATCAATAAATTGTAATTTAATTTGCACTAGAATCTAAATTAACTCATTGAACTTGATTATGCCAGGCATGGTGGGGTGTGTGAGCGCTCGAGCGTACACGCACACCCACCCACACTACAAAGGAGTCAGGCATGGTGGCACATACCTTTAATCCCAGCACTGGGAGGCAGAGGCAAGGAGGATCTTTATGAGTTTGAGGCCAACCTGATCTATGGAATCACAGGACAGCCAGGGACAGACCTTGTCTGAAACATAAAGAAATAGAATCACTTTTAGTTTTAGTTTTTTTTTTTTTTCTTTTTTCATGGTGGTGTGTTGTGGAATGTCATTTTAAGATGTGTTACATTCGTTTATGGTGTGGAACATTTAATGATGCAAAGATGTGTTACATTCTTTTATGTTGTATTTGTTTAACTCTGTAAAGTTATGTTACTTTGCCTGTCTAAAATATCTGATTGGTCTACTGAAGAGTTGAATGGCTAATATTGAGGCAAGAGAAAGATAGGAGAGGGTTGGCAGGCAGAGAGAATATAAGTAGGAAATAAGGAGCAAGAAAAGAAGAGGACATTGGGGGCCAGCCACCCAGCTACACCCAGAAAGCCACAGAGTAAGAAGTAAAGAAAGGTATACAGAAATAGAGAAAGATAAAAGCTCAGAGGCAAAAGGTAGCTGGGATAATTTAAGAAAAGCTGGCAAGAAACAAGCCAAGTTAAGGCTGGGCATTCATAGGAAAGAATAAGACTCAGTGTATTTGTCTGGGAGCTGGGTGGCAGACCACCCAAAGAGCCAAAAGAGTAAAAAAACAACCAACAACAGTGGTGGTGGCTGGCAAAAATGTGGTTCACTAGGTTTCTTGTGTTAGTTATAGTTGTGTTTGTTTTTTGAGACAAGGTCTTCCTAGGTAGCCTCGGTTGGCCTCGAATTTAGAGATCCTACTGCTTCTGCCTCCCAGTGATGGGAATAAAGGTGTGTGCCATCTTGCCTGACTCTGTTTTGTTTGTTTTAAAACTGTATTTGTGTGTGTGTTATCTCAGACTTCCACAGGTGGATGCCATGGCATGTACATACCTACACATACACATACAAATAAAAGCTTGATTTCCAGGCAGGCTGTATGATTCTCAGATCATTACCCTTTAATCACTATGCTGTGCTAGGTTTAATATTTACACACATATATAAATATATACAAACAAAACAGATTATTATTTTTGTTTGTGATGCTGGGACTGAACACAGGGTGCTAAGGGGATGGTCAAGCTATAAGTATGTTTTCCTTTCCCTTTGGCACAGTCCTCATCTTTACTGTTAGAACAACAGATAACAGACAAGATGACTGGATCAGCACCCCAAGATAACACTGACTTTGAACTTTCTTTGTTCTGTAATGGATAAATACCATGTATAAAAGTTTATGATTCAGCTTTGTTGGCTGAATTTGAATGTGCAACTGAATGTGAGACTATATGAAGTAGTCTCAAGAAAAGGGAGAAAAGGGGGCTGGAGAGACAGCTCATTGGTTAGAACAGTGGCTGCTCTTGCAGAGGACCAAAGTTTGGTTCCCAGCTTCCAGACCATGTGAGTCACACCACCTGTAACTCCAGTTTCAGGGGATCCAACACCCTCTTCTGTGTTCAGACACCAAGCACACATATGTGGTACACACATATACATACACACAGGTACACACATACACATAAAATAAACAAATCTTAAAAAAACAATAAATGAAGACTTCTGTGTTCACAAGAGGAAGGGTTGGGTTACACGGTATCCTCCAAACTGCAGGGCTTGCTGTGAGAGAAATGACTAGAGGTTCTTATTGTGGTCTGTCTCTGTGGCTTTGCCAAAGCATTACATTAAATATCTCCTGGCTTGTTGAGTGTTATCACTGTATCACTTCAATTCGAACAACACTCCTGGAACAAGGTGTACAGAACAGAGACAATACACCATCTGCCCATGTGGAAACAGGAAAATAAATATAAGAGTTAGTAATGACCCAAAACATTTTGATATTTTATACATAAATATAAAATGGCATTTTATTTATAATTCTTTAGGTATAGAATCTAATTATACATTACATCCTAACAATGGTAAGTACCAGCTACAGAAAATTATGCTGTTAATCACCTCCTGGTTCACCTTCAGTGGGCACAGCAGACTGTTTTAACAGGAAAGCAAGAGCTTTCTCAAATGTGTTTTGCTGCTTAGAGAGGGCAAGTGGCTTCTCACCATGGAAACAATCAGGTTGCTAGGCAGGGCAAGGCCAAGTGTAGAAGAATGGTCCGTAAACAGATCTACTAAATAAATAGATCCTGCTACTGGCAACTTTCTTCAAGTTCTGATTAATAGCCCATGAAGTAATTGCTTGGCTTTCATCCAAACGCTTCTTTATTCATTGCTTCTTTGTCTTGCTGACAAAACAGCCAGTCAACACTGAAACATACAGCCTGGCCCAGGCATATGTGATGCCCACTGCACAATACACGGAGGTCAGCAACAAAGGAATGAAGGGGTACTTCAGCTTCCAGGAGGTAAGGGGAAATATGAATTCACAGCAGACTTCCAGAGGCCCCAGGCCGAGGAGGTAGACCGTTTCCATCCAGTTAAAAAGAGGTTTTTCTTTTCTGAAGGAGAGAAGTCTGATTTTAGATGAGTCACACCTGGTTAGCAAACAGTCCCCGCTAATGTCTCCCACCCGCACTCCCTCAGTGTGAATGACAGCCAATGCTGCAAAGACTGAATTGAAGTTTTTCACATGTTGAAAAACCATTTTGCTATGACACTCTATTACCTCAACGATTTAATCTACCACATTTAGCTATGCTGCTCAGACAAAACTAATTCTGTATTTAGAGGACAGATAAGTTCTGGGTACTGTGACAGTAGAGTAAGAACATACATAGAAACAGGGATCCTAAAAACGCTTAATTCTGGTAAAATATAAGTAACTCTTATATTTTTGGTTGTAAGCATAGCTTTTAACTGGTGAGCCATCTCTCCAGCCCAAATAAATTATAGGAATCATAGTACATAATTTAGAATGTAAAAAAATTCTGACCACCATTTTTAATTTTACATAGTGTTAAGTATATTTTAGTTTTTTCCCATTTGTATCTGTAGCTATGTAACCTTATCTGTAATGAGTATCTTATATTCTATTCTTTGGTTTTTAAATAAGGTTTTAAGCTAGGTAATCTTCATATACCCCTCCCCCCCAACTAAGGATACAACTTATGCTATCATGTCAGAAAGACAGGTTAGGGGAATTCCTCCCTCTACTTATCAAGTATATGTAACAGTTATATTACTGTTATAAATTAGTAATTATTATGTGTGCACATGCTGAACACACACATATGGAGGCTAAAGCTTGAAGTAAGGTATCTAAGTAATTGCTTCTCTACTTTATTTTTAAAACTAATCATTTTATGCGTATGAGTGTTTTGCCTTCATGTATGTCGGTATACTATGTGTGTGCCTGGTGCCCATGGAGGTCAGAAAAAAGGTATTGGATCCCTGGGACTGGAGTTAGAGAGTTTTGAGTCACCATGTGGATGCTGGGAATCGAACATGGTTCTCTAGAAGAGCAGCCAGTGCTCTTAACTGCTTCAAGCCCCCCCCCTACTTTATTTTTTGAGACTGGAACACACACACACACACGGGGGGGGGGAGGGAGAGAGAGAGAGAGAGAGACAGAGACAGAGACAGAGAGAACACAAGCCAGTCTTTTGCTGAACCTGGGCATCACGGATTGGCTATACAGACTGCCAGCAAATGTGAGCTGCTGTCTCTGCCAACCCAGTGCTGGGACTCATTACAGGTGCAAATGGTGCTTGTTTTCCACAGGGGCTGGGGAACTGAGCTCCAGTCCTTCTGCTTACACAGAAAGCTTTACCGTCTCAACCATCATCCCAGCCCCCATTTGAAAATACATTTAAAATCCTCTTTGACTGTTTAAGAGCAAATATCTCACAAAAGGGAACAGAACCTTAAATGTACTTTTAAAATTACCTGAATAGTGTCTTCAGAGAAGAGATACTATAAACAGTGAACAGTAACATGAGTAAGATTTTAATGGGAAGTTCTGTTGGAAGACAAAAAAAAATACAGGTGGCAAAATAGCAATGAACATTGCTAATATTCTTTTCTTTCTATTTTTTTATTTTTTAACGGGGGCTCTGCAAAGTCCACCAAATCTTCCTGTGCTGGGTCTGGGCCCTCTTCCTATTTTTTTTTAGACAGGATCTCTACATAACCCAGCTGTCCCAGTACTCTCTATGTAGACCAGGCTAGCTTTGAACTCACAGAGATTCACTTATCTCTAACTCCTGAGTGCTGAGATTAAAAGTGTGTGCCACCACATCTAGCTAACCATTTTTGAGATAACTAAATAAATAAACTTCAAATTAGGAGCAAACCAGAGGTTTTAAGAAAAAGAATAAAAGTTTCTTCTTTCAGAAGACTTCCCAGTTATTTAAGTTAGAATGCACTGGTTTTTAGGCCTGGATGGAAAGGGCATGGCGACCAAACACATCTTCCTAAAGAGAAGCTGCTTACCTGGGGCAGTGAAGAGCAGAGGGAAGAGGGAGTAATGTCCTGTCGTGGTCAGAATCAGAAAAATTGTTGCATCTCCTGCTTTTTCCACAGACAAAATGCTAAAAATAAAAATTCTTACAGTAATTCCTTAAAACAATTGAATTGTGATTGCACAGCTTAAATAAATATGTCTATTATTATTCTTAGGACTAGCTAAATAAAATACTGACAAACTGGACTGGAGAGATGGCTCAGAGGTTAAGAGTACTGACTGCTCTTCCAGAGGTCCTGAGTTCAATTCCCAGCAACCACATGGTGGCTCACAACCATATGTAATGAGATCTGGTGCCCTCTTCTGGTGTGCAGATATACACAGAAGCAGAATGTTGAATACATAATAAGTAAATAAAATCTTAAAAGAACTGATAACAATCCCACTGTAAAATGAATACTGACAATCCCTTTATAAAATGAACACTGATTCTGTTACAAAGTCAACTCAAATGAGAATTGGCTATGTAAGTTTTAAAAAGTTTTCCCGAAGTTTTATTTACTTCATGAGTATGTTCTGTGTATACACACAGTTATGTCTGTACATGCATGCGTACACACACACACACACACACACACACACACACAGAGCGAGAGAGAGCGAGAGAGAGAGAGAGAGAGAGAGAGAGAGAGAGAGAGAGAGAGCTTGCTTTGTTGAGTTGCTTTCCTCAAAGATGTAAGATTTGGAGCTGCTTAGTGGAGAAAGATAGGAAATTCTACTCAAGAATTTTACTTCCAAACCTACAGTTAATTTTTTAGATAGTCCTGGACCTGCAGTGTGAGTTCAGACTGTGTAATCTGGACATTCTATGGTTCCAAAGAAAACATACTGATCACAGTTTAAATGATTTCTCATGATTTGGGAAAACCCTCAAAAATAGAAAGAGGCGGGTTCCATTCTCATTTATTTGCTGGATTTTAATGAGGTGTCAAGTGGACATTGTTCCATTTATAGTACTTTTAAAAAAGCGAAGACCATGGCACACACCTTTAATCCCAGCACCTGGGAGGCAGAAGTAGGCAGAGTTTGAGGCCAGCCTCGTCTACAAAGTTCCAGGACAGTCAGGACTACACAGAAAAATCCTGTCTCAAAAAAATAGTAACAATTCCCCATCAAATAAACAATAAAAAAGCAAAACAAGTAAGAAGATCACTGAACTCAGCATAAGGTCAGGCCGAAGTCCTAACTGCAAGTTGCTAGCTCTGTGACTTAGTTTTTAAGACAATATCTTGGTATGTAGCCCAGAATGGCCTTGAATTGACAATCCTCTTGCCTCAGCCTCCTCAGTACTGGTGAATATAGGCATGTGCCACCAAAATAGGTTTAGTTAAGTAACTTTGGTAAGTCATAAGCTCAAAGATCCCTGGTTTCTACAGATTCTAAGATGGGATTACATCAATTTATCCTAATTATCCTAAAGGTTGCTGAGCAGCTCAAAATAAAGTATACAAATTAACAAGATAAGAAATAATCAAATAGCTCTGAAAGTCTAAAATGGACACACATTGAGATACTGTGAAATGCTTGGTCCTTACTTGACTAACAATAGGGAACAGGGAACCCCAGGGCTTTAGTTTTGCTAATGTGATGTTACCGAGCATGCCAGCTTTTCCCAAGCTATGCTCCCACCCAATATTCTATTATGGCATTTAATCATCAAATATACAGGAACAATGTATGGATTTTTGCACACTTCAGAACCCTCACAGGTCTAAAGATCCAAGCCAATCAACCCATCATCCTCATTCCTTTCCTTTGCTTATCCTACCCCACTGGACATGACTAGAACAGCATAATCAAAACATGACAACTCTCTGAGCTATTTGCTTACCTCATTGGGAGAATTGCAAGGAGTATGGCTTTTTCATGGACATGCCACCCAAACATGAAGGAACTCAAGGCACAAAGAACCAGGCATCGGAGAAAGCCTCTGGGCCCTTGGGGTTTAAACCAAAGACAGAAAACAGAGGGCTAGAAACAATAGGCAAAGACAGAGCTTCAGTGTCATTTAAAGCCAGCTTGCAGAAGCAAGGCACAGGTAAACACAGTCTGTGTCATGTTAGAAAACAGCAGGACTTCACTGACATCATCCAGCACTCTGTGCAGCCCCCCAAAGCTAGCTTTACAAAAGAAAATCAAGACCATAGGAATATGTACTTACTTCATCAAAATGAACCCTATCAAAATTAATAAACAGTAAGTTCTGGGATATAAAATTTAACAACTTACTATCTGCTTAAGTAGCTAACATTCATTGAATTTACTAGGTCAAACTACAAAAATTCATATGTATTTTGGGGATAGTGCATTAGATTTTACCAGTTTTGAGAGCTGCAGTGCAATTTATAATAATAAAGCCATAGCCCTTTATATATACAGCTTATAAAGCTGAGGTTTTATTTATTTATTTTTAATATTTTACTAATTTCTCTATCTCTCTTTCTGGTGGTATATGCATGTATGCACTTTTGTGTGGAGTAAGACATATGCACACAAATTGGTCAGAGGGGGATGCTGGGTATTGTGCACTCCATCACTGCATTACTCCTTTTTGACAGAGTCTCTCATTGAACCCAGAGCTAGGCTGGTGGTCAGCTAATGCCAGCCATCTTCCTGTTTTTGTTCTCCACTCTGCTAGGAGCTGAGGGCCTGAGATCATCCTGTTTGCACAACTCGTTCTCATTCACTGAACCACTGCCCTAGCCCCAAGGCTGAGGTTTTAGAATTTTTAAAACATCAGATAAAATCTATGATTAAGTAGATTAGCAGAACTTAGAAACCGGCATACTAGTACTGCCACAATTAAATGGGGTCAGGTGTCTTGCCAGGAGATTTTGATAATTTAGAAACCAAAATTAAAGCTATCACAATGCTGAAGTCACAGAACACTGACAGGTGTGAGTGAGGCTCTAACAACAGCTGACCCACAGCAGAATTTTCTTCTTCTGTCTCTCTTTTTATTTTTATTTTTTTTGAGACAAAGTCTTTCTATATGTAGCCCGGATTGGCCCCCAAGCAGCAATCTTCCTGTCTCCACCTCCCTAGAGCTGGAATTGCAGCCTTGTGCCACCTTGTCTGGCTGGCTTCACAGCAGGCTGCTGCTCAATTCATTATCACCATCAAGACAAAATACCCTGTTTTCTAGACACATTTGATCATTTAGCCAAGGATGAGAAAAACAAAACAAAGCTTGGATGTTCTGCCACAAACATTTCCTCTTTCTCCACAGCATGCTCCATGCCTCCTACTTGGGCTTTTCTTTTTCCTCATGCCAGGATGGACAGATGGCTTAAACTGCCACTGGCAAGACTCTCTCACAGAGGCTTTTCTGGTAATCTTCCCTCACTATGTTCAAAGTTACCGAGAATTTCGAGGAAAGACTCCAATCTGTAGGAATTCAGCCATGGAACTTATCTTGCAGTTGGACAAGCTTGAAAGCCGAAATTCAGCCAGCACCATGATAGGAGAAGCAGAGGAAAAATCAACAAGTGGGTACCACATACCAAGTTCTTACCAGTATGGCTATCAGTGTACAGATGAGGGTTGCCAAAGGGGAAACTGAGGGAAGGACCGTATGCTGGAACTGCTGAACCAAACCACTTGTCATGGAGGCCCTGGGAATCTGGTTGGGATCAAGAAATTTCAATTCCAAACCTAGAGAGAAAGCAGATATTTACTTTAGTCAAAAGGACTCTCTATCTTACAAGTCAAAAATGCTACTAAATCTTACAGCTGTTCACAGCTGGATTTCATGGGTTTAAGTCTGCGCTGGCTGTGCTGCCTCCAGCACATGCTTTCTTTCTGGTTTTAGATGATAAGCTATAGCTATAGACTAAAATTGGAACAAGCTATTTGTGCAGCCTACCGGAACCTTGTGGGCAGGCAGCATTTGAGCAGAAACCTTCTCCACCACTTAAATGAAGCAAGCTATTTAAAAAGCAGATCATGTCACAATGAACTTGAGCCTTTCATTTGCTGAAGTATTAGGTTCATGGTCCTGCATACAACAGCCTTCAGTGATCTGTCACCTTTCTGCCTCTCCAGCCTCATCTGCACTGATGCAGCTCAGTCACAATGATGGACTAAGTGTGAGTCCATAGCATACTGTCCTGTGGTCACACAACTCCCTTCAAATGACTCACCCACTTTGCCAAACTTACTCAGTCATGCAAAGAGAACTCCTAAATCAAGAGGCAAAGTTGCTTTGCGGGTTCTCCAGCACTGTTTATGTGCTTACTATTTCTACCATACTATGTCCCTTAAATACAGAGGTGACTGTGAGATCCTAAACACAGAAGTTCGATAATTACTTGTCAGATGAACCAAGCTGGAGCAATGCTGCAAGTCCCACCCAAATAGGCTCCAGTGTAAAAACAGTGCAGTCAAGACAGCCTGAGCACTTATTGCCTTTCCTATTGCCAGCAACGTGGGGAAGATGTAGCCTACCAAATGTATTTTCTATTTATTCCTTTCCCCTTCAGTTTCTGTTTTTCCTTTTGTTTTGAGACCCAGTCTCATCTAACTCAGGCAAGTTTTGAACTCTTGATTCTTTAACCTCTGCCTGGCAAGTGTTGGAGTTACAGTGTATATATACTCTCATAACTAGCCACTTCCCCTCTTTTTTGAGACAGGATCTCATAGAGTCAACCCAATCAAGAATGACTCTGAACTTCTCATCTTCCTGCCTCTACCTTCTGAAAGCTGGGGCTGCAGGTGTACCCCATAAAAATGGTTTATGCAATGCTGGTAGTAGAACTAGGATTTGCATTCCCTGAGTTAATCCCAGGATCCTGATTTTATCTTAAAATTAATGGCTATTCCTCTGAGATTTTAAACCTGACACACTGACTTTCCATGTAAGGAATCTTTGGGGAGCAGGTACAAGGTAAGGTACAGCAGTTTCCTGACTCAGGCCTTGTACTGCACACTAAGCTGATTAGACAACAGCTTTTCACAATACAAATGTTTGAAGTTACTTTGTAAGAATGCCGGTTATAGCCGGGCAGTGGAGGTGCCCACCTTTAATGCCAGCACTTGGGTGGCAGAGGCAGAGGCAGGTGGATTTCTGTGAGTTCGAGGCCAGCCTGGTTTCCAGAGTGAGTGCCAGGACAGGCTCCAAAGCTACACAGAGAAACCCTGTCTCGAAAAACCAAAAAAAAAAAAAAAAAAAAACCCTGTTTCAAAAAAAAAAAAAAAAAAAAAAAAAAAAAAAAAAAAAAGTAAGTAAACAAAATAACCATTTTCTATAAGTAGATAACTCCAGGTCCAGGGGGATCCAGTGCCTCTAGCCTCTGTGGGTACCAGCACTCAAGTGTATACCCTCCCCCGCATAATTAAAGATTATTCTTAAAAAGCATCTAAATATTTTATCTACTCACCCAAGGAAAGTGTCTATAACCTCACTACCACAAGGAATGTTTGTAAGCAACACAATCCACTTACTGCACAACAGACTCGGTCTCAAGCAATTTAGCTCTGCTCATCTTGAGCTGAAGTGCAGGGCTGGAGACCAAGTAATCCAGAACACACATCCAAACACAAAACACGGGCAGGTGTTTGCACTTTCTGACGGGACTAGTACTTTCAGTATTCATAATCCAAGGGAAAAGCTGGGTACCATACCAATGACAGACAGTGCTTTGTCCAAAGCATTGTACAAAGCCCAGAAGTTTGGAGCCCAGTAGGCATGGCAAAGACCCCTCTTGAAAGGAAAGAGTCGGGAAAAGACTTGTGGCATCTGGTTCTGTTGAAAAAGAGAAACAAAACCAATTAAACAGCCATCAACTTACTCCAAATTCTAAAACAGAACAAGAAAACTACTTGTGCATGGTGCATAGAAAGTTCAGCAGTCTGGGTTCCAATCTTTTCTTCTACAAGTGAATGATCCTAATCAAGTCACAGACCTCTTTTTGCCTATCCTTTTAACTGGCCAGTGAGAAGACACATAAAAATCAGCAAATACCCACTCATTCTACTAGGAAATACAACATTTATATGGTTCAGGGACAGCATAGGGTTTGGTCCATCTAAGCCTGCTGAAGTGTTGGGGAGCAAGGAACACCACATTAGATGTAGTGTTCCTCATCTTAATAGAAGTAAAAATCTGATTTCCGGATGTGGAGCAAGAGAGAAAAGAAAATATTTGGACATCTGTCCCTGGCACTTTACATCATTTACTGTGTACAAAGGATGATCCAAGAGACTAGAAATGTTAATAAGTAGGGTGCATTTAAGCAGAGCCACAACGAGAACTAATTCTCTAGTGCAACCAGTTTCATGCTACTTGAAGATGCATAGAAATGTGAATGAGCACTTATCTTTGGTAGGAAAGCAAGAAAGGAGTTTTTACAGGTGCTTCATTCATGTACTTCCTACTCTATTGTTCTTTCTCAACAACAAAACCAAGACTACTTTTTAAAAAGCAAAAATCAGAAATAAAATAGAATGTCTTACCAAGGCTATGAAAGGGCCCAACGAAAGAGCAGAAACTAGGAAAACAATCAGGCCCAGGGAAATAACACGGACAAAGCTGAAGCTGTCCCATCGGACAGTGCCATCTACAGAAAAGGAAAGCCACATTACCAGGAGCACGAACAAGTACCCTCCAACAATACACGGGGTTTCAACACACATTCCAAATGTCCTCTCGCTTCAGCCTCCTTCGTACTGGGATTAGAGGTGCATGCCACCATGCCCAGGTATACACTGATCTCTTTGTGGATGGTGAAAGTTTATAGATCGGGACCCAAGACACACCTGTCATGCTCCATAACTGTGTCAGCTGCAAGGAAGAAAATAAGGATCTTGCTACCACTGCTAAAACTTGCCTGGTTTGCTTGCAGTGAAACAGTAAGATCGCAGCAGATAGATACCATAGGCTGGTGCTACATAGAGGTAGATGTGCTTGAAATGCAGGAGGACAGCAAAGAGAAATGCCCCTTCCATATGCCTTTTCTAGGAGACAGAAAGGGGAATGTATCACTTTGAATTCAAGGTGGATGAAAGGCAGTCTATAGTATCCTGTAGTGGATCCTGGAACAGAAGGAAGACATTAGTGGAAAAGCTGATGAAATTCAAATAACCAATGCTGGTTTCTTAACCTTAGTTGAAAGATTGTTTAAGAAGGTAGCACTGGGAGAAAATGAGTGAGGGGTATTCAAGGATTCAAAACTATTTGAGTAACTTTTCTGTGCAACTAAAATTATTCTCAAAAAGAAAAACAAGACAAAATAAAACAACACCCATCTATTTTTAAAGTAGAAACCTTTAAAACAAACAAACAAAAAAACCAGACAAAACAAAAACTAGAGTCTTGCTATGTTGTTCAGGTTGGAGTCAATCTCTCTCTCTCTCTCTCTCTGGTTTTGCGAGACAGGGTTTCCTCTGTGTAACAGTCCTAGCTGTCTTAGAACTAGCTCTGTTAAGTGCTGGGATTAAAGGCATGTGCCACCACCTCCTGGCTAGTCTCAAACCTCTTGAGTTCAAACAAATCTCCTGCCACAGGACCTCCTGAGTACAAGAACTACAATGGTGTGTTCTACCACACCCAGTTAATATAGTAACTACTAACATCTTTAAAAAATTATTTATTTATCATGTACGCAGTATTCTGCTTACATGTATGCTTGGATGCCAGAAGAGGGCACCAGATCTCATTATAGATGGTTGTAAGCCACCATGTGGTTGTTGGGAATTGAACTCAGGACCTTTGGAAGAGCAAGCAGTGCTCTTAACCTCTGAGCTACCTCTCCAGCCCCTAACTACTAACATTTTAAAGAATGTTTTATTATTAGTGTTTTGCTCCCATTTTTGTGTACATGTGTGCAGTGCCTGCAGAAACCAGAGGAGGGCATCGGATCCCCTGGAACTGGAATTACAGATAGCTATGAGCTTCCACGTGGTGCTGGGAACTGAAGACAGGTCCTCTGGAGGAGCAGCTGGTGTTTTTAACTGCTATGTCACCTGTCCAGCCCAATAACTATTTCCTTTCTCTTTCTTTTTCTTCTTTTTTCCTGAGACAGGATTTCTCTGTATAACAGCCCTGGCTATCTTGGAATTCACTCTATAGACCAGGCTGGCCTCGAACTCAGAGATTTGCCCTGCTTCTGCTTCCTGCTGAGATTAAAGGCATGTGCCACCACTGCCTGGCTAATAACTATTTCTTAATGGATATGCTGTAAAAATAAAATGAAATGTGGCACCTGGTATCACAACCTCACTGCCACAAAGAACTTCTGTAAGGAATGCAGGTAGGAAGGACTCAGTGGGAACTGCTGCTCTGCTCATCTGAGTTCAAGTGCGGGGTTGGAGACCCAGCAATCTGAACACACAAGGCAGGGTTTTCCACTTCCTGATAGGGCTAGTCCTTCCAGTATTCATTAAGTGAAAAGGCTGGGTATCATACCAACAACAGGCAGAGTTTTGTCCAAATCATTCTATTTAAAAAGAATCCTGTGTGTGTATCACTATACTGTTTTCCGTATTTCTGAGACATTTAAATTTTCTATAATAACACTTAAAAAATTCAAAGTGGGGGTTGGAGAGATGAATCAGCATTTCCTGCTCTTGTAGAGGACCAGGCTTCTGTTCTTAGCAATGACATGATGGCTTAACATTGCTTGTAACTCTACTTCTAGTAATATGATGCCCTCTGACATCTGTGGGCATCTGCACACACCTGGTGCACATAAACTCATAGGCATAATACAGATAAAATAACAAACAAATCATTACTTCATTAATATATAGTAAGCATCAAGCCTGATACTATGTCATACTGGGCAGTGGTGGCACATACCTTTAATCTCAGCACTTGAGAGGCAAAGACAGGTGGATCTCTGTGAATTCAAGGCCAGCCTGATCTACAGAGTGAGTTCCAGGATAGCCATGGTGGTTACAGAGAAACCCTGTCTCAAAAAACTAACAAACAAAAAAAGATACAGGTTATATCATCAGTAACCACAAACTATATTCTAAGAAGACAGAGACAGCACAGTTAACTTGGTCAAAGAAGAGCTAGGGTCAGAGGATGAATGAATATAATCTATAATGTTGTGAGAAAAACACTTGTTTTGTGTGTATGGGTTGTGCTGGGGATTGAATCCAGGGCCTAGTGCTTTCGAAGCAAACATTCTATGACTGAACTATAGCCTCACCCTATTAAACAAACAAACAATTAAAAACAAAAACAAAAGACTCCAGTGCCCAATGTGTGTGAGACTCTGAGTTCTATCTCAGCATGGTCTCACAAGGTCATTGCCCAGACTGGCCCTGAATTCCCTGGTCCAAAGGATCCACCTACCTCAGCCTTCTAAGCAGCTTGGACTGCTTAGGGCATACCACCATGCCAGGCTAAGGGGAATAAATAGGGTATTTAATCCACAGAAATAAAGGGATCCTAGTTAAAATAACAAAACTTTGGACAAGCTTAAGCTAATTTTAACAAAAGAAGTCTGAATTCTACCTACATTATAGGAATTTGGAGAAGAACCAAATATGGCTATATATTTTATTAGCATTAAGATAGAAACATGGGTCTTTTGATTTCAAATTCTATATTTTCATCACACTATTCTAACTAATCTATAAGCTTCTCATGGAAAAATACCACTGTCATTTAAACAGCAAGTGCTTCCATTCGGCAGAAACAGTCCAGTCAAACACAGAACTCTAATCCATACCTGCCACACTGTAATGAGTTTTTAGGATATGATTTTTCTATTTGTAAAAATAAAGAAAAATTATCATCCTAAGAGCAGGTTGACTTTGTGAAAGTACCAATAAAAGTGTCTATATGGTGAAATTCTGAACAGGGGGTCAAATAATATCTATCAATGTTATCTTTATAAGCTAAAAACTAAAAGGGGAAATCTAATTAGGTTCTTCTGTGTTTACCTGAAATAACCGTGCAATGGAGAGCAGCATTAATCCAGATAAAAAGCCATTGTACTGGAAATGAATATCTGGAGAGACGTCAAGGAAGATGAGGACATTGGATTCATAATGAACTGTGCTATGAATAAGTATAGAATTTGTAGATGCTTTCTAAATGAGTAAATTAAAAATAACAGTTTAACTGGTTCACAAAATTAACTCCTCAGGAACAAAGTATTTTAATAATCAGAATCCAGTAAACTTGGAGAGAGCACAGTTTAGGGAGTTAAGTAACCCAGACAGCCCCCATTCAAAAGCAGCTCACATTTAATAATCATCACTACACCATAGGATGTAGTATACCAAGGATACGGTCTACAATTAACAACCCAAAGTTCCACAACAGTAGCACAGACAGAATAAACTTTGGCTTCTCTGTAAGTTCTTTGCTTGTTTTTTTTCCATCAATGCATTTACAGCACCTACATGGACACATCAGGAAATAAAAATAGAAATAACTTTAAGCTTCTTGAAACATCATAATACTTCTACTTTCAGCCATTTCTGACAAACCATCTATTATCTATGGTTGATCTCAGGGCTATTTCATATCCTTTCCTTGGGTTAGCTGATCAGATACAAGGGTTCATTTAATAAAACTAAAGCCAACAAATGGCAATCTAAGCCCTCAAAGCAAGAATTTTAAAAATGAGCGTACACACATTAGTTCAGTCCTTGAAAGTGAAAAGTGTGGGCCAAGTATGTAGCTCCATTGGCAGAGTGCTGGCCTAGCACACAGGAAACACTGCACCAACTGAGCACAGTAGTGCATGCCTGTATTCCAACTCTGATGAGTAGAGGTAGGAGGATTATTAGTTCAAAGACATTATCAACAACATGGCAAGTTTCAGGCCAATCTGAGCTACATTAAGACCTTGTCTCAAGATAAAAAAAAAAAAAGGAAAGAAAGAAGAAAGGGAAGGAGTGAAAAACGCAAGCTATAACTCAGTGGCAGAATGGTACATGCTACATGCTAAGCAATGAGAGCAAGATTCTGGCTGGGTTCAATCCCCACTGTATACATATGACCCATATATTCATACAGAGAGTGAAACATTCAGACCAGTCTTGGGCTATACAGTGAGACCCTGTGTCAAAAATAAATAGAACTGCAAAGCTGTAGCTCCTTACTACCCAGATGACGATGATGACAATAAAGCTTTATGGAAGGGGCTGGGAGATAGCTTGTCAGTAAAGTACTTGCTGTGCAAGCATGAAGACAAGTTCAGTCCCTAGAACCAATTATTAAAAAACAAAACAAAACAGAGTGTAATACTTGTAATACTAGTGTCAGGAAGCAGAGTCAGGTGTATCTCTTGGGACTGTGTTTCATTTTGTTTTGTTTTTTTTTTGAGACAGGGCATCTTCCTGGCTTGGAACTTGTCAAATAGGCTGGTCCAGGCTGGTCACAGGTGCCAAGGATCTGAGTAATGGGATCAGAAATGTATGCTACCATGCCAGCCTTTTTCATATGGTACTTTGTTTGCTTGTATGTCTGTGTAGAACGTGCATGCTTGATTCCTGCAGGTCAGAAGAGGGCATTGGTCCCTTGGATCTGAAGTTATAGACAATTGTGAACTGTCATGAGGGGGCTGAGAATCAAACCTGTATTCTCTGCAAGAACAGCAAATGCTCTGAACTGTTGAGCCATCTCTCTAGCCAACCATAAGATAATTTGAGTCTATTGTAATGAAACTACCTAAGAGCAGACTTTGGTAAAGCACAATGGACATGTGTGCATAAATGTGTATGTACTATGTGTAGGTACGTGTCCCACAAAATAGGGCAGGTCACAAAAGCCTTTGGGAGTGGCCAAGGAAAGGAAGGCATGTGGAGTTATCCTTCATGAGAGAACTGATCCTGGAATCCTATCTGGATTTGTTTTCTCAATAACACAGCATCTTTTCATACAGCTATCCAAAGCCTAACTTTCCCCTATTTCTCCACAAAACCTCTCAAGACTGCTTCCTGTAAGTACTCTCAGACACTTTAAAGCTCAGCTTGGGTTTTTGCTGGTTCAAGATTTGCTATTATATGAACAGAGTTGTTTTTCCTGTTAATCAGCAGTAATACAGCAATTTCTCAATATCTTCCACACAAATAAAAGCCCATACAGCATGACATCTGCCACTTACTCATGAACAGCGTAAAAGAAGAGTGCATCGGTCAAGATGACAGAAAACCTCTGGAAAAGCAATGTTCTTGAGCTGAAGTAGTTCAGGTTATGGATATTAAGCATCTCTTGATCAAAGTATTTGGCAATATGTGATAGGGCGTATTCAAACCATGCAAAAAAGGGGGGATAATCCAAGGTCCACTCTGAAGTTGCCTGTGATTAAAAAAAAAAAAAAAGTAAAAATTAAAACATACCTTAACTAAACAAGGTGTATAAATACTTAAAATTGTTCACTCTCAAGTCTTTTAAAAAGTATAATGAAATAATATACTGAAAGTGCCTTAAATATACAGAGTTATTTGTATGGAAGGAGAATTAGAAGATGACGAAGATGATGCACACCTGTAATCCCAGCATTGAGAAGGCAGGTGTATATATATGTCACAGTGTACATGTGAAGGTGCAAGAATAGCAGAATTGCTATTTTTTAAAAAAGTAATAGTGTGTCCACATCACGTAATGCATGTCAAAGCCAACCTGCAGAGTGGTTCCCTCTTTCCACCATTGTCAGGTTGTCAGACTTGGCTACAGGGCCGTGTCCCTGGCCCAGAATGGCCCACTTGCCTTTCAGTTAACAGATCTTTCTCTTTCCACAGTGCTGGAGATCCACTCCAGGGCTTTGTAAACAACAGGCAAGTACTTTACACTGAGCCACATTCCCAGTCCTGAAAATCTGATTTAACAGCTATAGGTGATTTTACATAGCATTTCTTTTGTTGTTGTTTCATTTTTGAGATAGTGTCTGGTTATATAGTCCAGGCTAGCCTTGAATCTTGATCTCTTAGCCTTAACATCTGCAGTGCTGGGATTATAGGCATGTGCTGCAATGCTGGCTTACATATAATCTTTTTTGTTGTTGTTGTTGTTGTTGTTTTGTTTTTTTTCAAGACAGGGTTTCTCTGTGTAGCTTTGGCTGTTCTAGAACTCGTTCTGTAGACTAGGCTGGCCTCAGACTCACAGAGAGCTGCCTGTCTCTGCCTTCTGAGTTCTGGGATTAAAGGCATGCGCTATCAAGGCCTGGCAGCTTACATATAATCTTAAAAGGTGAAAATAAACTTACCTCATAATACCACTGAGATATTGGCAAACTGTGAGTAATAGCAAGCCAATTTCGGTGTACTTCAAAATCCGTGGAATGGCTAAACAAAGCAATTATGGAACAAAATGAGATTTTGAAACAGCTGTATCTCATTATCCTATAAAATGACATAGCATGCACACATGCGCAAAGTCCTAAAACATCTCAATTAAGAGGTCAGGCCTCCCTCTAGGTTGTTGGGGGATCTAGATAGGGGTCTGAGATATCCAAGGGCTGACACAAAGCTTAAAATGGGTTCTTAGACCACTGCACAAAACTGACTTTCTCACAAACAACTCTTAACAAAATCCATAGTCCAGAAAAAGCCTTACAAAGGAGGGGCTTCAAATATTTAAAATCACTTTTATATTATTTTATGTGTAGGTACATGTGTGGAAGTCAGAGGACAACATATGGCAGTTGGTTCTCTCCTTATATTGTGTGTGTCTTGGGGGTGGAATTCAGATTGTTAAACTTGCCTTTAGGGGACCTTTACCCACTGAGCATTTCGAGTTCAAGGACTTTTTTGTTTTCAGAAAGGGTGTCATTATATAGTCCTGTCTGGTCTTGAACTTCCTTCATAGACCAGGCCTTGAATTTGCATCAATCTTCTTGCCTCTGCTTTCAGAATGCTGTGATTATCGATATGAGCCACCATATCCAGCTCTTGTTTCATTTAGACCACGCTTTAACATGGGCTACACTCCCTTCCTTGGAAACTCTCTCGAATTAACATCAATAATATATAGGTGGTTTTGTGCATCGACCCCCACCAACCCCATTAGACAAAGTTGGGATATGTAATCCAGGTTGGCTTTTCTATTTTTTTTTTTCTTTTTCTTTCAAGACAGGTTTTCCCTGTGGCTTTTGGAGGCTGTCCTGGAACTAGCTCTTGTAGACCAGGCTGGTCTTGAACTCACAGTGATCTGCCTGCTTCTGCCTCCCGAGTGCTGGGATTAAAGGCGTGCGCCACCACCGCCCAGCTTGGCTTTTCTATTTTTTACATTTATTTATTCTGTGCACAGGAGAGGAGCAAGCTGTGGCCTGTGTGCACTCGTGTACACATGAGTCTGTGTTTGTGCTCAAGTGTGTGTGTGCAGATCAAGGGGACAGCTTGGGAGAGTTTGTTCTCTCCTCACACAATGTAGCTTCTGGGGATCAGCTCAGGCTGTCAGGCTTGTCTGCAAGTGCCTTTACGCTGGCCGTGAGTTCTTGATTTTTTAGCCTCCGCATCCCAAGTTCTGGAATTATACAAGTACCCAGCTTAAAGATTCCTCTGCCTGCTAAATCAGTTATCATTCTACCACCTACTTTCAAACTGTAGAATGCTGTTCATAACAATATCCTTTTCACACTTACAATTTATGTTATTATATTTGAGAAAGGGGTTTGCTATAAAGTCCAGGCTGGCCTCTAATTCATGATGCTCTTGACCTTGGACTCCTGAGTTCTAGAATTACAGACATGGGCTGCCATGCCTGTATTTAATTTATACTATTCTGACATCATTTTAGTTAGATCTGAGATGAGATTAGTTTGGTAACAAAAACCTTTAGTCAAGTTGTAAGTTTCCCCATCTCTACTATAGGCAATCAGAAAACTTTTTCGTCTTTGGGGCTCTGATTTAGTATAGTGCTTGAAATAAAGTAGGGGGGCTGGAGAGGTGGTGACTGCTCTTTCAGAGGACCTGGGGTCAATACCCAGCACCCACATGGTGGCTGAGTTAGAAGTCATCTCCAGTTTGCGGCCAGCCTGGGCTACATGGTAAGACCTGTCTCAAAACTAGCAGCAACAACAAATAAAAAAGCTAGGCCTGGTGGAGCACATCTATAATCCTAACACTCAAGAAGCGGAGGCAGGAGGATTGCTGAATGTCTGAAGCCAGCCTAGGACAGTGTGAGACCTTGTCTTAAAAAACAAAAAGTTTTTCATATAAGCATAGGAATTTCTTCCTCATTCAATGGTGATATATGAATGAATGGCTATAAATATTTGGAATTGTGTTATGAAATTTAAACCAAAGGGAGAGAAAGTTAGTTTTGCAGTATCAGCAGTTAATATTTTCTAATTAATGAAGATAAAGAATGAAAGTAATTACAATTTGTTGAAAGTATTTGGGGAAAAAAAACAAAACTAAGACTAGAAACATGATGTCAAATAGCAAGCAACTACAGTGATGTACTCGCTTAAAGTCAGGGCACTTTCTGAAAAAATGCAACCTTAAGCAATTTGTGCACACATTACAGAGCACTTACAGGAACTAGTAAAGTTATGGTATCACTAGACAATGAACTCTTGGTCTGGAGAGATGGCTCAGAAGCTACAAGGACTTGTTGCTCTTATACAGGATCCACACTGGGCTGCTCACAACATCCTATAACTCCCTCTTCTGGCCTCAAACGGAGCCTCACACATGGGGCATGCAAACACACAAATAAAATAAATCTTAAAAAAAAAGAACATATAATCTTACAGGACTGTCATTGTATATGTAATCTATCAGCGACAAAAACATTGTCATCAAATGATACTGTACTTGGTATGTAATGTGTTTGCCATGCTTGGGCCTGTTAGCCCTTCACTCTTTATATACACAACTAAGTGGTGGTTCCTGTGCTTTTAGTTTCGACTGTACATTTTTTTTTTTTTTTGCACAATCTACCTGTTTTCCCCAGCCCTGGATGATCTGATCACTTCATGTGTTATCCTGTGTCACTTTCCTTCTTTTTCAGCCTTTAACTACAATGACAACTTTCTGTACTTAGAATCCCGAGTTTTTTCCTTCTACAAAGCTTTTGCCCTGTGCCTGAACTGTCTGTCAGGTTGGTTATTCTTTTTAATACTGAGGATATAAACTTAAACATCACCTCCTATAAGAAGAGTAAAAGCTCTGCTGTCATTTACTGTCTCCTTTATAAATCTTTTAAGACTCTGAAAGTTTGCCGCTCCCAAGTCCAGGGAAGATGAGGTCCCGAAACGCTTTGATGACCCCTCCATCTTCAGGATTTAGAACGGCGCCTGGTCTTTTAAGCAGCAGGTCTTACTGTCCGAAAGACAGTCTGACTGGTGGAGGTGGGGTCATTAACTTGCATTTAAAGGATAAGGACCCTGAAGCTCACACACTTGAAAGCGACTTGCTCTAAATTAGCATAAGGACTCATCCTGGACAGACATAGCTATATTCTAGCTCTCAGGTTAAGCATCAAGCGGTGTGGTAAAAGCTTAGCAAAGGCGGAGAGAACACATGGCCTTTATGCCCAGAACATCCATACAAGTCTCACCCACCCTGCCGGCCGCCGGGCCTTCCCGCCCAGCCCCTGGCTCTGCAGGTCCTTACTAGGTGGGGATGAGGAGGCATTTGAGGAGAGTCACCCCGAGAGCCAAAGCCGAGAACCAGTGGTCACCACTAGCTGCAAGAGTGAACGCCGCCATTTCTGGAGTCCCGTCACTTCCGGGACTCGCATGCTGTAAGGTCTTTAGAGGCGGTGCCGGCGAGCTCTGCGCATGAGCCGGATGCTCGGGGCGCTCGCAGGAGAGCGCGCCAGCGTTTAAACCTCCCGCCCAGGCTCCATTGTTTTAGACTCAGCTGCGCCTGCGCCGACCTCCGTGGTGATAGATACTTGTTTATTCGTTCATTCATTTTGGTTGTTGTTAGTACGCACTTCCATTCAAATAGTGGCTGGTCGTGTGCTTTGAGTGGTGATTTTGGGTTGGAGATACCAACGTGAGATAAACCCCCAGAGATGTTCAAGGTGGTAGAGGAGATTGTTATCCATTAGTTACTCGGATGAAAGTTCTCGAGAGAAAGAATAATAGTAAAAGGCCCTTCGAAACCGGAAGTTAAGTGCAGGTATACAGAATGGTCTGAGCAGGGATACAGAGCTGAAAACCCATTCTGATTCTAGTAGCGTTTTGCTAGGTTCTTTGTGCAGCATCTGCTCCAAGCAGAAGGAGGCCAAGGTCTAGTACTTACCACATTTTTGTTGTGGTGGTTAGTTCATTCACAATATATGTCTGGCTGGCTTGGAACTCACAGAAATCTTCGTACCTCCGCCTCTGGGGTGCTGGCACTAAAGGTGTGCATCACCACCACTTCTCACATTTAATTGCAAATGATCTGGGTAGCTTGTTAAAACTGACATTCAGTGGGATGTCCTAGTACCAGTGCTGCAGGTTCACAAGGGCTGGGACATATGCAGGGATCCACATTGTTCTAGTCTGTTGTACTGCACGGTCTCACTCAAATTAAATCCCCCCTCCTTCCTTATCTATAATGATTAAGATTAAGAGAATGAATACAATACAGCCTGGTCTACAGAGCAAGTTCCAGGACAGCCAGGGCTACACACACACACACACACACACACACACACACACACACACACACACACACACAC